TGTGGTCTTTAAATTCCATTGCCCTCCAAAAGGATCCAGGAATCCCTGGAGATATGGCTGATTCAAAGGCAGGAGTAGGAAATATACAAGATTAGCCTAGAATATTTTTTTATGTCGCAAAGGAAGGGGGCTATGAAGACTATTTATTAGGGTTATGTGAGAAGACACAGGCACAAGCTTTTGTTGACCAAAGATGAAACACCAAGCATCAGAAATAATAACTACAAACTACAATAGAATGAAACACTTCAGATCTATGTGTGTGTGTATGTGTGTGTCTGTTTAAAGAACAAGCATTGGTAATGCTTTTCAAAACCAAACCAAACCAAAACACTCCTTTCTTGGTCACCTTTGGAGGATGCTATGGTATGAATTCATTATTCTAATAACTAGTACATAAAGAGAAAGAATTTACCCTACCTGTCCTGTATAAACTGTTTCCAGTGTAGCTAAATAGCTGATGAAAAGAAGTTTTGATTTATAAAAGATTTCCAACTAATATCTGCAGAAGGAATGCTATAATTAGAATGTCACCCTTTTGCAGCCACTAATGAAATAATGGATCTGGGCGGTGATCGTCAGTGGCTGCTAAAATTGCTAGGTGAAAGGGAACTTGATAAGAATCAGATTGAATCTACTGATCAGTCTTAACATCACAAAGAAGACAGACAACCAGACAGCCTTTGCCTGATGTTGTGTTACAGAAAGAAACAGCACCATTTATGAACCTAGGTCTAATCAGAGCTCTGGATAGCTAGTCAGGCATCATCAAGTGCTCCTGATGAAAGGAAATGTGGTAGATAGAGGAACATGTGAAATGACCCATAGAGATACAGTGAAATAGACTGTGAGAATTTTGTGGGACAAGTGACCGGGATCTTCAACCGTCAATCAATCAATCGATCCATGGAAAGTTGGGGCAGAAGGTAGGGGAATTCTATAGATTAAGAGACCCTAGGAGACATTACTAAATGTGACGTATGAATATTTTCTGGATTAAACTTTCAAAAGTCACTTGAAAACATTTGGGAACTTTTGACACTGATGATAAGGAGTTATTAGTATTTTGATAGTGCTGCAACAGAACCGTCAGTTTGTGGTTCTCTTACCCTTTGGGTCTAAGTCAGAGGCCACCTAACTCTGTAAAAGACCGCATAGTAAATATTTTAGGCTTTGCAGGTGGCCCCTGTTGCAACTTTAAGGTGGTCTCTTCTATAACTATTCAACTCAGCCCATGTATTATGAAAGCAGTCATAGACAATATGGAAACTAATGAGCCAGATACGGTGCCGTGCACCTGTAGTCCCAGCAACTTGGGAGGCTGAGGCAGGAGAATCACTTGATCCCGGGAGGCAGAGGTTGCAGTGAGCTGAGATCCTGCCATTGCACTCCAGCCTGAGCAACAAGAGCGAGACTCCATTTCAAAAAAAAAAAAAAAAAAGAAAAAAGGGAACTAATAAACTAATGAGCATGGTTTTATGCCAGTAAAACTCTGTTTCCAGTAACAAGGGACAAGCTGTCATTTGTTGACCTCTGGTCTAATTCATTGCGCTTGGGGTAAAGCCTAGGAATCTGTAGTTTTAACAAGCATGTCAGGTGCTTATGATCAGGCAAAGAGCCCTGGGAGGTGATTTTAGTTATCTCTTCCATTTTCACACGAGAAAACTGAGGCTGGCGTAGGAGAAAGGACTTGCTTGGGATCCGCAGCTAGAAGGTAGCAGACTGTGTTTATAGGGGAAAATCCTGGCTGCCATGTCCCTTCTCTACCACATTCATCCCGCAGGAAGACGCTAAGGAGAAACGAGCGAGAAGAAAGTTTTTCTGCACATTGTACCTCTAACTCAGCAGTCTTCTTTAGGGTGAGGCAGAGGCAAAGGGAGGGAAACAGAGCCCGAATGTGTGCCGAAAGCCAAACAGATAAAAAGAGGATGTTCTGGAGCATAATGTCAACTTCCTTACCAGGTCTAAAATCCAGAGTTGCCAGACTTTGAAAATAAAAATATAGGACACTTGTTAAATTTAAATTTCAGGCAAAAAAAAAAAAAAAAACAAAAAACAACAAAACCCCATATTTTTAGTACAAGTTTGTTCCATGCAATATCTGGGACATAATGATAATTTTTTTAAATGTTGTTTAACTGAAAGTCAAATTTAACTGGGTATCCTGTATTTAATCTGGCAGCCCTGCTAAAGTGTGAAGCGAATTAGTAAAAGCATTTAACAAAATATTGGTGGGCAAGGGGTCAAGGGCACCCCCTGCCGAGGGACTGTGAGAATCAGCAGGAAGCTGTTTACAGGGAAGGTTCAGAGGTCACAGAGACTGAACTCCGACCTGCCAGATTTTGCAATAGGCATTTGACCCTCTCATCTAAGTCCTTGGTTTGTAGTTGACTTTGGCGTGGATATCCTAAAGCCTGAGTTGATCAGGTATCTCTGTTCTCTCTACACAAGATCTGGATTCATTCAAAACCCATCTATCTGGTCTCTGGGTATGAAATGAATTTTATGGAGATAGTGACATTCTCGTTTTGCTCCTGCTTGATCCCCAATATACCAGGAATGATCATTTTTCCTGGAGAACAGTCTTAATAATGCAAACAGGATTCCATTCTTTAATGAGTGCTCATTGCCATGAGCACTTCCAGCCTCCCAGGGTTTTCAAACTCCCATCCTCTTTGTGAATGTGCGTGTGAGAGGGCAGGGAAAGGCAATGATTGATGGAAGGTGTCTGCCAAGGTAGGCATGGGCTCTTTGCCAGTGCAATCCAAAGATCTGCTTCCCTCCAATTACTTACTGTTTTTATTTCTAGAGTCATTCCTTGGAATATTTCCTGTGCCTCATTACTTACATCTCCTTTTTCAAGGTTCAGCCTTGAAATCCTTAAGTATCTCATTGAGAGTTTGGATGAATAACTAATATTTCTTATGCAGTGCTTGGGCAAGGTACCTTACCTTCATCTGTGGTTTGTGATGATAGAGGCTTCTATCACACAGGAATAGGGAGAGCTTAAATGAGGGATGTATGTAACAGCAGTGGCCAGCACTCATTGTTAATTCACGAGCACATTCTTAGTGTTACTGTTTCTGGCTAGTTTATGTCTGGCTAGGTTTTATCATGGGACATATTTGTTAATAATTTTTTACCAGGGAAGGCTTTGGCCACTACCTTTCCCAGACAGGGTCTCTCCAAAGAATATCAGTCACCTTGGAGGAAAATCACCATGGGTTTTTATGGAAAATAAGCACATTTGAAGAAATTAGTTTTGTTATGCTGCATGTAAAGACACACACAATGAACAATGACTGTACTTCGTGTATATGCTTTTGCACTGAACAATGCTCAGAGGGTTTTTACATACATGATCTCATTTTAGGCAGGCTGTTGCTTCATTTTTATTTTGAAGAGAAGAAAACTGAAGTGCACAGGGGTTAAGTGCTTGTCAAAAGTGACATGAGAACCAGGGCTCTGACTTCCAATGGCATGTTCCTCTTTGTTGCATCACAGGCTTCTGGAAATATTTTATTAATAGTCCACTCCTGGAAGAATGCAGTATAAACTTTGCCACATTGGTTGTGCTGTTTGGTGAGAATTTTAAAGATTCTTCTCAAGGGAGCCTCTGTGACCAATTAATATGCTTCTGATACTCTTACTCAGATACTTACATGCATCACAGTTTACACCCTGCACACTTGAATTTCTGTCTATAAAATTGGAGATTTCAATCTGGAATACCTCTTCTGGATTGTGTTAAAATTATGAAATGAGACATACACCAACTTCAATTATGGAGCCTACTATTGAAAATTTTTCATCAAGAGAAGTGTTTCTATATTCCTGACTTCTGTTTTTTTAAATCAACAAACCAAACGCAATAAACCAGTGTACAATATGCTATCACAAACATAATTTTTCTTTTAAAAATATTAATTTTTAATATATTAAATAGAACTTAAATTAGGTCCACTGGTTTCCTTATACTCACACTTTTTTTTTACCATTTTTAAATTTTCAAATGTGATACATGATTATTGTAAAATTTCAAACAGCATAGAAATATTTACATATAGTAAAAAGTGGGATTTTTCTCTTTGGTCGTAACTCACATGGTATCGAGGAAGTCACTTGTTTACTGGTTTTCTGGACATTTTTCTATGCATTTTCAAGTTACATGGTATCACTATATATTTGCTTATGTATCCACATATACATTTTTACATGAATGAGAACACTAAATATATTTTTCAAAGCCTTGTGTTGTCACTTGATATATCCTAGACATATTTACGTATCAGCACACATAGGTCTACTATATTCTTTTTAACTGCTGCGAATAACTTTAATGATGAACAAATTTTTGCCTTTACAATGAATGAAATAAACACTTTCAACTAAATACTTTTGCTTACTTGATTGAATATCTTTCTAAGACACCTAGAGGTGAAATTGCTGGGTTCAAAGTCACTTGCACCTTGAATGTCAACAGAGTCTACCAAGCTGTCCTCAGAAAAAGCAGAAACATTTCTCACTGCTGGCATCTGAGAATAACGCTTTCCTCACCTCTCTCCAACACAAGATAGCATTCATCTTCTTCCAAACTTTCCCAATCGACATTCAGAAATGTACGTCTCTGTTGTTTGAACTGACATCTTTTCATATGTTTGTGGCCACTTCTAGTCCTTTTGTGGATCATCTGTTCTTATCCCGTATGCATTTTTCTGTTGGGTGGCTTTTTCTAACTAATTTGAAGGAGCACTTGGTATGGATTTTAATTCTTTCTCTGTTACATATATTGTGCCTTTTTGTCATTTGTCTTTTAGCTATGCTTATGTTGTCTTTTGCCATGCAAAACATTTAATTTTTGTAAGTTATAGCTCTAAATCTTATTCTTGACGGCTTCTTGAACATGTGTCTTATTTAGGGAGGCCTTCCTTTTCTGAGGTTATAGAGTACTTTTCTAAGTTTTCTTCTAATATTATTATTGTTTTGTTTTTTATGTTTAGCTCTTTAATCCATCTGGAAATGATTTTTGTATATGGTGTGAGGTAGGTATCTAAGTGTATTTTTTTAATGAATAGTTCATTGTCCCAACACTTTAATTACTAACCCATCATTTCATATATTAAATTCCTATATTTATACATGGGTCTGCCTCTAGACTCTCTGGTTTGTTCCATTAGTAAATTTGTCTACCCTATGCCAAAACACAATGTGTTCATTACATAGCTTGATAAAATGTTTTGCTATCTGATAAAGTAACTCTCCCTTATTGTTCTATTTCAAGTATATCTTAGTTTTTATCAAATAATTACTACTTTAGGTGAATTTTGGATTCATCTTGTCAGTTTCTGTACGCCATTTCATCTGAGTTTTCATATATATTGTGTTAAATTTTTGATTATGGGAGAAATGAAAAATGTATAACATTGCATCGTCCTATCCAAGAAAATGACACAACTTTTTATTTATTCGGATCTTCTTTTATGTTTTTCAATATTTTCTTTAAATAGACTTGTTTTCTGCTAAAGTTTATGCCTGGGTGTTTTAAGTACTTTTATTGCTATTGTCCGAACAATCTTATTTTCCATTGTATTTTGAAGTCATTGCCATTGGCATGTGAGAATAGTTTGATTTTTATGTGTTTCTCTTATTTCTGAGTAGCTTGCTAAATCATATAATGGTCTAACTGCTTTTTAAAAAAATTTTCCTGAATATCCGGGCAGTTTGACTTTAAAAAAAAATATTTCTACCCCATTTAAAAATTATTGCTTTATTGCATTGACTAGGACCTTTGAAAAATATCACATAAAATTCATGATAGAAGATACCCTGTATTTTTCTAATGTTTTGTCAGGAAATATGACATTTAGTGTATTTAATAAAGGAAGTTACCTTCTATAAATTAGACTTTTAATCAGAAAAAGATGTTGGAAATTTTTTGGGATTTTTAAAAGGGTGGCTTCTCTTCTTTTATCTTTTAATTTAGTAAATTTAACAATAGATTTCCTAAGGTTGAGACATTCTTGCATTTCTGGTATAAACCTTATTGAGCTATAATATGGAATTCTTGTAATATATTGCTGATTTGATATTTTACTCATATTTGGAGAGTATATTCATAACATAGTTTTATATAAGTGTAGATAAGATATGTATATTGCTATTTATTATGTAAATAAATACATATGTAAGTCCGTATGTTAAATTTGACTGATTCTGTCTTCAGGAACGTTCAAACCACAGAGAATGGTTTGGGAAAATTTCTATGTTTTTTGCTTTGAAAAAGCATAAATAAGACAGAAAACTTTAATAGAACTCACCCAGAAAATCATCTGAACCTTTTACCTTTTTAATGTATAGAATTTTTTTTGCTACAATTATGGTTTTTGTATTCAACTTTTCTACTAATCTTAATTTTTTTAATTCATATTTTCTAGAAAAACAATTAATGCATGTATACTTTCAAATTTATTGCTGTAATATTCTTAACATTTTACATTTGTCTCCTCTACATCCCTCATTAATCTTGCCAAAAGTTTGTGTAACTTTTGAGAGAACTAACGATTGTATAGACCAAGTCTGATTTTTATTTGCCATTTGGTTGGTTGTTTTGCTCTGTTTTGTTTACACTGATTAATCAGGGTTTATTTTATTTTATGATTTATTTCTTCTTACTTTCCTTGCATTTGCATTTGTTTGGTGGGTCTTTACTGCCAGTGTGTGTGTGTGTGTGTGTGTGTGTGTGTGTGTGTGTGTGTGTAATCCTTATTTAATTTAATTATATTTTCACTATTTTAAAAATAAATGGTTAAATGCTGTAATTTTTTCCAAAAATTACTTTAGTTATATTTCATAAATTTTAAGGTATAGGACTTTAGTAATTATTACAAAAAATACTTTTACATTTACTTTTAATTTTTTCTTTACCAAATGATTTAATTGCCCAAAGAAATTATTTTTTTCTTGTTAACTTCTATTTTATTATATTTGATACAGAAAATATTTTTTATTTTTTTACCTTATATTTATTTTTTATCTTGTAATTCCAGATTTCCTTTGAGATTTAATATGTTACTGGTTTTTATAATTTTTTTAGGTAATTGAAAATAATGTGCAATTTTTCAAGGAAGCTGAAAGACACGATGAAAACACTCATATCTGTTTATGAGAACTCATCATTTGTATTTTTAAAGTGTATCTTCATTTATGTTATCATCTTGATCTTTCAATTTGGGAAGCATTTTAGTTTTCTATGATAATGTTAGCTTTGTCAGTTTTCTTTTATTTATAACTTGTTTTTAATCTTCTTATAGATATACACATGCATGTATATGTATTATCTCTATATTTTTATAAATATTTTATATATTGTTGCTATGTTAATTGGAGCATAAAATTCATCATCGTAATGGTGAATTTTACCAGCTTTAAATATTATATAAAGCATGATATAAATTTAAAATAAATTATTTAGCCTCATTTTAATTTTTGGCATTCTGAATCCTTTTTTTCACATATATATGAGACAACAGACAATGTATAAATCACAATAAAAGAAATGTAATTGACTATAAATATCTATAATGCATATATACATATATATGCACATATATGCATATATGTAGCCAATTATATTTTTCTTTTAGTATAGTTGTATTTTTAGCATTCCGTTTTCAATGTTTTCTGCTATTTCATTTTAGACATGTCTGTTTTAAATCATTATCCTTTCCCCCCTTTCTGTAGTCGTTTTGGTATTAGTTAAAGGTTTTGGCTTTCTTTATTAAAGAAAATGGTTTGAAAGCTGTATGTACTATTTCTATTCTAGAAGCTACTTTTAAATTTTAGTAAGCACATTTAAATTTAAAGTGTTAACCTCAATAATTAATCACTGTAAGCTTCTTTGTTTTCCTTTCTATAGCATACAGCCTTTATCAGGCTTTTAATTATTTCTATGTCTACTCTTCTATGCATTTATGGTTGAAATTATTGGAAAGTTTCATTTCAGATAAGTATGTCGTTGTAGCAGTGGTGGTACTCATAGCATTATTGGTATTATTGCTTACCTTATGTCTCTATTTTACAGGAAACCTTTATTAGTAACTGTATTACTTTTACTACCAAATTAACAACCATTATTCAGATTTAAATTGCATTTTTGTGGCTTATTCGCTCTGCATTTTTGTTATGTTCCCATCGTTGCATAGCTTGGGTTATTTTTACAGTTTTTCTAGAATATGTACTCAATTAGCTTGGCTTCTATGTTTTCTCAAAGGGTGTGAGTGGTAAACTGAGTCTTTGCTTGTCTGAAAGTAGTATCTTCACTTGTCTTTACACTGTGTAAGCTATCCTGATGAGAAAGTTCCAGATTGAAAATAACTTTTCTGGCTGGACGCAGTGGCTCAAGCCTGTAATCCCAGAATTTTGGGAGGCCGAGGAGGGTTTATCACGTGAGATCAGGAGTTTAAGACCAGCCTGACCAGTGTGGTGAAACCCCATCTCTACTAAAAATACAAAAATTAGCCAGGCATGGTGTCTCATGCCTGTAATCCCAGCTACTCCGGAGGCTGAGGCAAGAGAATCACTTGAACCCAGGAAGTGGAGATTGCAGTGAGCTGAGATCACACCGTTGCTCTCCAGCCTGGGCAACAAAAGTAAAACTATGAAAAAGAAAGAAGAAAGGAAGAAAGAAGGAAAGAGAGAGAGAGAGAAGGAGAGAAGGAAAGAAGGAAGGAAGGAAGGAAGGAAGGAAGGAAGGAAGGAAGGAAGGAAGGAAGGAAGGGACTTTTCTGTAAACGTATATTATCATTTATCTTCTAAAATTCTTCAAGTGGTTAAGGCAAACATGATTTCCCTTTGTTGAAACAAGATTGCCCATCTCCCAAGCTATTGGTTCTTAATTGATCATTATTATTTTTCCTCTAACTGACCCACCATAGCAATAAGAAGTTTAAGCAATAGTTCATCAGGACATACATAGAGAATTCTTTTTTTCGGTATTGAGTACTTTTATGACAACGAATTCCATGTATTACCCAAAAGTTTCAATTCCCAAAACTCTTTACTAATGACGCAGATAGTTTCTGAGTTTTATTTTTTATTTATTTATTTTTTTTTTTGAGACGGAGTTTCGCTCTTGTTACCCAGGCTGGAGTGCAATGGCGCGATCTCGGCTCACCGCAACCTCCGCCTCCTGGGTTCAGGCAATTCTCCTGCC